GTATCGGGAATGGGCTTGGAATGCTGTTTTGGTAAGGAATTCTGAGGCTTTGCAGTGTGATGAATTTCCTATGTCACTGAAGTGTAATATCCTTTTTTTTATAACCTTAACTCAATAACCACAATATTAAAAATTGGCTTGTATCTTGTAAAAGGTTATTGGCATGAATTGGCAGTTTCCCTACTTTGCGGCCTGCTCGTTAAGTACTTCAAGCACAATATTAGACACCTAATAGTTTGTACATCTATTTCATGAACAAAAGTTTGAAGGATTCAATGTTTCCCTTTACTTTAAGTACCAGTATCTAATAGTGACACCAAACAAATAATGTCGCTATAGTGGAGAAAAATGAGCTCCCTCTGATTAGCTGATAATATGGTGTATGTTATTATATGGTCCCATCCAGAACTTTGTTCATCATAACCATTGTGTGATATGCCACCTATGGCCTTGGGGTTAATACTTAAATGGAATATTACTTGAAATCAATGCAAGAGTAGATTTATATTTTACTGTACTGTATCTTATCTCTTTAAAGAGTGGTTTGGATTTTTTTTATATTTATTAGTCATTACATTACTAACTGAAATTTGTTTTTCAGGCCTTGGAGAAATACTGTCGAACTGAGGCTGGGTACAGTGGAATTCAGAATGTGTATATGGAAAATCCTCAAAAGGATGATGTACAACAAAGTTTTGTTTTTGCTGAAACTTTTAAGGTCAGTACAAAATTATTAGCAATGATGATGAATATTTGATTTGATGTCTTGTATGTCCATGAAACTGGCTTTCTTTAATCCTCTTTATTTATGTTTCATAAAATATGAACTTGTGCCTGCAGATATATGAAAGAAAAATCATGTAGCTAATTTAACAAAACTTTTAAGGTCAGTACAAAATTATTAGCAATGATGATGAATATTTGATTTGATGTCTTGTATGTCCATGAAACTGGCTTTCTTTAATCCTCTTTATTTATGTTTCATAAAATATGAACTTGTGCCTGCAGATATATGAAAGAAAAATCATGTAGCTAATTTAACCCCTTCCCGATGAGTCATGCTGTGAGGCGTCAAAACAAACCACTCGATCTGTGGCGTGCGGCTGTACGCTGCGGCGGCACGCCAAAGCGCTATGAGCTGGTGATTTGGCTTGATGTGCCGAACTCCCACGCTCAAAGCTGCCATTGATCTCCAGAGTGTAGATTTTTTGTTTTCTTCACCAGTAATCAAGGGGTTACGTCATTAGAATTTCTACTGAAGGCCAGGGAGACAAGAATGACTCACCATGAATCATGAGTCATGAATCACAAATCTTATCACCCTCCAAAGGGTGATTAGACTTAGTGGGCATTTAGGAATAGGTTTTTACACTATTGTCATGGCTTATGGAGTGTGGAATATACCCTCCGTAAGCCATGACTGGAAGAGTTCTGGGTCCAGGAAGGATGCTATTTCCATGCTCAGGAACCTGTTCCTAACCTCTGTGACTGATGTTACAGTGTGTATTACAGAAAATTGAATGTTTTAAGAAAAATAAAAAATGAGATAGGTGATAGATAGAAAGAGAAATGTAGACATTAGATATTGTAAAAATGGTGTAATTATTTTGCACACAATAGACGTCAGAGGGAGGGCCACTGCATATGGCAGAGGCAACAGGTATGATTGTTAGATTATAGCCAGTTAGATGAAGGAAGATCATCGTCCTTTACATTAGTTATCTCATTTTAATTTTCAACTAGGTTTCTTGCGAAGGAATCAGGAGTGGTTGTGATGGATGGGTGAGGAGCATCATACAGTCCAATATCAGCTGTGCATTCACTGCATTTATTCCTTTTTGTTATTTCTGTTTTCTAGTCTAGCATCAGACAATGTGTCAACCATTGGATGAGTTTGCATCAGGCATTATTTATTTACAACTCCGGGAGGTATATCAGCTTGTGGCTGGAAGGTAGATGTGTACTGTTCACTGTTCTCATAAGCAGTGCACATGGACTTCATTTTTGTTACATATTTTGGAATTTGTGTGAATTAATTTTATTAAATTTCACATTGTAACTTTTTTATTTTGTTCTGATTAGTTTTTTAATGCATTTGCTGACGTGTGTATAAACTTTTAGAACCGGAGCAACAAAAGAGTGAAACAATGAATGATGCAACCTCATAATGGCAGTGACAAAAGGGTGAAATAAGGAATTATGGGGTGACCAGTGACAGGGATCCCCTGCATTGCTCTCTTTGATTTTCTTCAAGGCATTGGCAAATTGTTTAGAATACATCTGTATTTAATTAGCTTTTGCAATATTTGCAATTTTTTCTGCATATAGGATATATAGAAAGCTAACAATAATAGGTTTGTGTGGAAAACTTTTAATTAGTTTAGTAAGTCTGTGGAAGTCCAGGAAGTTCTAAATGCCTCAGAATACATTGGCAATATCAGCAGTTAAAATTGATATGTGCATCACTGGTAATATTCTAAAGGAATTTTGTTTTACAGTACCTCTACTTAATCTTCTCGGACGATTCACTCATGAGTTTAGATGAATGGGTCTTCAATACAGAAGCACATCCACTTCCTATAGCTGGTAAAAACTCATTTTACCGGAAAGTTCAAGGTATGTAAATATTTCAGCTTTTTGTATAGAGTAACAGATCTTTAGATACACTTGGTCACTGATTAGTATGTTTTATATTCTCATTTTATGTAGTTAACTGTGATGTACTGCCTTCCATAATTTGATTACAAAATTGTATTTGCTTTTAAAACAAGAATTACAATATTTGTAACCTAATCCTTTCTTTTATATTATGAATATATTATTTTTGTAAAATGCTTCAGCTGTATTTCATGATTATAGCTAATTGTTATACTGTAACTTGGGTATACAACAAAAAGGAAATAAAAGAATGGCAAACTATTTCTTTTAAACATGATTGTTATCATCACTTTTATTTTCTGTAAAAGGAGTTTCTGTTGTACTTCAGCTATTGACTTTATTTCACTAGCATGTTGATCTTCACAAACTTTTCAAGTGAAAGAGCCATTGTCTTGTATTTTCTCTTTTTTATTTCATACTATTAGACTTTAAGTTGGAGTTTCTTTAAGTTACTTTTCAGCATTTTGCACCACTTTTATACTAAAGTTCACTCTGTATCATTCATTTAACCTTTTTTCCCAAGGTTTGTATGTTATTAAATCTAAATCCCAGTTCATGTTTGAAATAAAGTATTCAGTTTTGCAGAATTTAGAAAGCATTGTCTAGATAACTACTTTTTAAATATTTTTGTCATGCCTAAATTTTAAACATTGTTAATTGCAAGTGGAATGGTACTTGTAATTAGATGTTTTTTTTTGTAGGTGTAGTTTTGTAGACTTTATTATCTTGTAGACATTAGAATATTATGTAGACAGATAATATTGTAGAATGTTTTCTGGTAGTTTTGTTGAATTTCTGATAGTAAAATTATCAAGAAAATGATAGCTTCTTTGTGTACATCTTTGCTACAGTTTCTGTAAAATCACAGCAAAATTGTATGCTTCTGTAATTCTTGAATACTGCCTTCAGGAAAGATTGTGGTATCACCTGTTCTTGGTGTAAGGACTGAGGTGACCAGGCAGCTCTTCGGGAAAGGGCAGCCGTCACATAGGGCAGAAGAGGTGGAAATGGATAGGGGCCTTTTCTCATGGGGTGAGCATAGGATTCAGAGACAGGAATTGGGTAGGCAGATAGACCACACTTTATCAAGGAATATGAATAGGACCTCTGGATTCTTTGTGGATAGACATTTTGAGAGGGATGGAGGAATGTTGAGGGGAAGGATCCAGAAAATTGAAGATGGCAGCTATTTCACTGGACGCAATATGAAAAACAACAGGAGTCCAGTGATAGAGGCTAAGCTGAATAGTTCATACCATGAGCAAACCTCAGAATCTCCAGAAATCATTTCCGTTTCAAAAAAGCCTAATACACTTTTAGAGGAAGAGGTATTAATACCAGAGGTAGAGATAGAACAGAGGCATATGTTTTCATGGGAATCAATAGAAGGAAGCAGCTCACAGGCAGGTGTTAGTTTAAAAAACTTAGGGGATAAAAGTGAAAACAATAAGGAATTAACAAGAAGAGGTCAAACAACAGATGTTGAATTGAATAATCATCAGGTTCAAGTTGCAACACGGAAGTGCATAAGGAAGATTCATGTAAGAAGAGATGGTAGAAGAGTATTTTTGGGAAAAGTGTGTTATGATGTGTGCAAGTGTCAAAGACTTAGATATCGAGCTAGGAGAACTAGGTATAAAGTTTTGCCCAAACTAAAAGTTTTCAGGAAAAAGAATAGACGAAGAAGAATTAGGGACGTTTGGAAGCATAGGGTATGCAGACAGGTACTGCAACACTCTGGGAAGAATCTAATAAAAGAGTGCTTTGGGAAAGTTCCAAGATCAGAAGGAAATGAAAAGGCCATAAAGATAGCTAGCAGGAAAAAAAAGTCAAAGTGGTTTGCATCCACACGGTCTAAGACGGCTGTCCTTGGGAGAAGGGCAAAGTAGGAGGCTATTTAGCATTTGTCCAGTATGTATCGTTTTCCCAAGCTCAGATTCTCTCTATGCATGCACAAAAAAAAAATTAACAATATAAAGAGAGATCTCTTATTTCACTTTGTCCATGACCCATCATTGACATTGGGAGAGACGAAGTTTCAGTCTAACTGTTGTAATGCTCATGTAAAAAGTGTGATTCCTGAAGGAGTTTACAGAAACCTTCTCTTTAAATTCTGTACAGTCTTCTTATGTGTATGATATATTAAGATAAGAGAAAATGGTTTAATCGATACTTTTTATATTAAGTTTGTTATTGTATGATATCACTTTTATATTCATTTTTTACTTTATCTATGATTTTTAGGTCAAATATGATTTATAAAAAGTTGTATATATCATTAAAGTAATAAATTATTGTAGTGATTTTTTTTTTAATCAAACTTCCTTATGAAGTTTTATGATATGAAGTGCATAGATTGGCAAACTTGGGGCTACAGATATGAATTATCTTTATACATAGTGTCATCAGGTGCATTTACTTATTTTAACCTTACTGTGTGTACATTTGTGTAAACGTTTGTTTCATTAATTAGTTATTCAGGTTACCTTTGCTAATATTAACTTATTCATGATTTATTGTGTTTAAATGCACATGATGGATTTTCTATGGTTAGGTGTATATATGAGTACTCTCTCACTTTCCCCATCTGAATTTTTATTTTTTATTTATTTATTTATTTTTTTTATAGGTGCAAGACCTCGTGATACTGCTATATTCTTTAATACAATAATAATGGGTAAAGTTTTGGTATAGTCAGGCAAGAATAGGTGTACATTTGTGCATTGCTTAACTCCTGAGGACAATTGGGACAGTGACTCATGACGTGGTAGGGGGTCTGTGACTATTTCCCGAGATGTTAAAACATGATGCCTCTTAACAGGTTATGTTTCTTTTCTTCACAAAAGGGCTGAAAATGAGTTACTTTAGACCTTTATAGTAAACTATATTTCTACTTATTTACAATTTGTTTTATGTAAAATAATTGTAGGTTATGAGAGAAGTTGAAGTTTGTAGATTATAAATGCTCTGTTGTTATGGTTGTGTTAGTTATTCATGCCAGACTTCCCTTAAAAATGCCTATAGGTCTCATGGAACAGTAAAGGTCGTGAAATAATATTTTTCGAACAGGTTTGCAGTACATGTGGTTCATAATTATTTCCAGTTTTCATTTTTGCCAGTATATAATGCAGGTTAACTCATTGCTGCAGGAAAACATGAATAAAAAAATGGGGAAAATGCTGTGCTCATTTTTTATGTTTTTGTGAAATATCTCTACACATAGATGGCTCTGCCTTACCTGATTTCACCTTTCCTTGAACTGGTGGGAAAATTAATTTTTTTACTAGTACTATGAATATCTATGGTGTTATTTTTATTATAAACCTTATAATTACTATGATGTTATAAACATTAGTAATAGCAAAACAAGATTACGTAAAGTATTTTTGAAAATTAAAGAAAACTGTGAACGGGCGAGACAGGCAGTACTCATAATTGGCTCATTGGTGGCTTAGTACAAGTGTAGCCATCTATGTGTAAAATAAGCAAATAAGTAAACACATAGTGGGCATGGCATGACATGGCCGGTGGCAATGGGTTAATGGGTTTGGAACAAACAAATGAAATTAAAAAGGATAATAAACAGATTTATTTTATAGTACTGGTTATTAGCTGACATACAAGCCTATATACTTTCTCTTTTTCCTACACACTTGTTCTCTTTCAGTCTAAATATACAAGGACCTTTTACTTGTACACACTCTTATACATATGTATACACATGTGGACATAGATGCACTTACATGCACTTGCACAAAGCTATGCACACAAATTCAAACAAATGCTGATAACACATTCACAACAAATATTGTTCATATACTGTTAGGATTGAACTTGCTTACAGATGTTTACACATTTTTCCTCATGGGAGTACAAAATAAGTAAACTGAGAACATTGTTGCTAATATATGATCATAGCTAATGTTATCTAGAAGAGTTGCATTATATATACACAATATTTTTTTGTCTTGGTATTTTCTTGTATATATAATTTCCCAGATGTGTTTGAATAATTATAATGTAGATACACTTGATGAGGCCATTCGTAGCAATTTCCCCTGAAAAGTCCTTGGTTGGTATTCATAAAAGGTCATAGAATTTTCTTTGGCAAATTTAAGGATTTTTCTAAAGAGGCTTAGACTCCATTATTGTTATTGAATTTATCTATGACTTAGTCATTTCATATCTGACTTGCTCTGTTCCCAAATTTCAAAGTTAACACTTAACTAGAACTAATGTTTGCATTTTGATAGACCCTATGATGATAATTCAATATGGTAATGAAATAAAATAACTGGTGCAAAGAATGTCAACTGTATAATGACTGCTATTACTTATGTAATATCTTATATTTGTGTTGCATCCTCTTTGTTTGATGTCATTGTGTCAGCTATAAAGATTTGATGCCATTTTTATTTATCTAATAGAAAAATGCAGTAAATGTGGAGCAAGCAGCTCGGATAACATCTAACAATTAATAAAAAAGTGAAATGCAAGAGCTGTCTTCACCATATATAATTGTCATTATTGCTGTCCAAGTCTCAAACATCCACTGAGTCATAGACAAAAATTGCAGTCAAACAGTGTCATAGACAAAATTGGGGGTCATGCACTGTCAGGGAGACAATTATGGAGTCAGAGTGGTCATAGATAAAATTTTGGAGTCAAAGAGTGTCATAGACAAATCCTAGTCGATGACCTTTTGAGAGTATTGCCCCTGGTTTGATTCTCTTCATGGACTAGATTATTATTATTTTTTTTACAACAGTGCAAAGGTGGTATAGGTACCCCATATGTATTTGCTCTCATGCCTTGTACTGATAAGGAAATCTGTATTAAAAGATAATTGTCCTTCTTTTATAAAAGAAATTTTCCCAGTGAAGAACAGGTGGGAAGTTTAGACTGCTCTTCAATGATGTCTGCTTTTTAGCTTAAATGAAAGCAGTTATGTTCTAAGGTATGAAGAATAAATAAGAATATCAGGATATTAAAAAAGAGATGTAGAAAATGAAAAAATAAATCAGACATACTAACTGGCTATCAGGTCATGGTTAATGAGATTCAAAGACATAAACTGTATATTTATTGTATTTATTGCATGGAAGAATTTCTAATTTGCGTTTATGCTGAAGACTTGTATAAATTACATATACTATGGTCTTTATCATCACAGTGGAAGCGAGATTAGATAGAAATACTGAGAAATTACCGAAAGAGCCAAAAGAGGATAGGATTTGAGAGAGAAATCTCTCTTTCTCTCCCTTCCTCAAGATAAAACTTTGCTGATAAAAAAATATATATTTAAGTAACCAGTTTATTAATTAGTAAACAAAATGCATGACTATGTATCATTCAGCTATGTATGGAGCAGCAGCTGGAGAATCTCTTCCATGGTGGCGTATTTTGTTGTTCAGCAGCATCCTTATGCTTTGTGTCATTAAGGCTCATTTTGAAATGGAAGAGTGAGTTCTGGCAAAGATACAGCATGCAGTTGAAGTGTGGTGATTGCATACTTTGATGCGGCAAATTAATTAGCTTATGTGGTACTGTGATTTTGCCATCTGTGGATTCCTTATACCCTTAAGAAATGTTATATACCTCGTTTGTAACTAAAGACATACAGATGACAAATGTATTTACCTCAGTCATTGAATGATCCCTGCTTAGTAGATTTGAAGGCGAGATGTGGATTTGTATTTCCCTTTCTTCTTTCTCTTTGTCACAAAGACTTAAAGTGCAGCTCCTTCCATTGTTTCGTATTTGAAGAGTCTATCACATAATGGCAAATTCTTATGTACTTTAGACATTAGACATTCTACACATCCATCTTGTACTTTAACAAGTTTGTATGGATTAATGTGTGTCCAGCCAAACTTTAGCTTTTTATTGAAAATCCAGATACATGTACAAAGGGTTTGTGAACAATATTCCCTGTTTACAAATACATATACAGAATGAAGCAGGCGTGCTCTTGTGATTGATAGTACAAAATACATGTTGAAAGTAAATTGTAGAATGTACACAATGAACAAAAATTTGCCCTTGTGTGATAGCCCCTTTGGAACAATAAGACTTTCTTCTCGTGTTCTACTATTTTTCCATGAAACAGAGCATAAAAGTCTGAAAATAAATATTATTAAGGTATCTGGAAGAAAAGTGGATTAGGGTGAACTATCTAAAAGGTGATGTAGAAGGAGAAGACAGGCAGGAAATTATTGGGAGTATGGGTTTCTGTAAAAGAAGGGGAGTTTCCAACAAATTCAAATTGATTAAAAGGTGTAGATGTAGACTGATGAATAGACAAACAGTTAGTCCTTCAGTTCAGAGATAGAGAGAGAATTAGCTAAGTAGACATGCTTAAAAAGTTACCAGTAAATCATATAAAAAGATGGATAGACAGGTGAATAGATTTTTTCATTTATTTTTTACCATAAAAAGTATTTTTTGCCTTGACTCTCCTGTTACAATTCTTACACAACATCCTTTGTTTATTGGATAGCATGACAAAGATGCACTTGCACAGGCACCTGCACAGGCACCTGCACACATGCACACAGACATGCACAGGCACCTGCACCTGCACACAAGCACAGGCACCTGCACACAAGAACAGGCACCTGCACACAAGAACAGGCACCTGCACACAAGAACAGGCACCTGTACACAAGAACATGCACTTGCACACAAGAACATGCACCTGCACACAAGAACATGCACCTGCACACAAGAACATGCACCTGCACACAAGAACAGGCACCTGCACACAAGAACATGCACCTGCACACAAGAACAGGCACCTGCACACAAGAACAGGCACCTGCACACAAGAACAGGCACCTGCACACTTGTACACACACAGGCACCTGCACACTTGTACACAGACATACACAGGCACCTGCACACTTGTACACAGACATACACAGGCACCTGCACACTTGTACACAGACATACACAGGCACCTGCACACTTGTACACAGACATACACAGGCACCTGCACACTTGTACACAGACATACACAGGCAATTGTACACTTGTACACAGACATACTCAGGCAATTGTACACATGCACATGGACAAGCACACACACGGGTACTTGCAAACATGCACAAGCACCTATATATACACACACATACACACAGGCATTTACATAAACACACATGCATTAGCACTTGCATACATGAACTTTCACAGGCACCTGCATACACATACCTGAGCACCTGCATACACGTACATGCACAGATACCTGCATATGCAAACACACACAGGGACCTGTATACACACACCCACAGGCACATGCACATGTGCACAAGCACACACACATTCACCTACATACACACTTGTACACCTGCATACATGCACCGCACATACTCCTGCGCTCATGCACATGCACAAGCTCCTGCACACTCAACATATACAGGCACTTGCACAAATGCCCATGTACATGCTCAGACAGCTGCACACACATTCAGAATTGTGTGTGCAGTTACCTGTGTACATCCACAAAAGCACACATACACATACACAAAAGCTAGCACACACATGCACATGCATGCATGCGCGCACACACACACACACACACACACACACACACACACACACACACACACACACACACACACACACACACACACACACACACACACACACACACTCCCCTCTCTCTCTCTCCCCTCTCCCCCTCCCTTCCCCCTCCCTTCCCCCTCCCTTCCTCCTCCCTTCCCCACCTCCTCCTCCCTTCCCCACCTCCTCCTCCCTTCCCCACCTCCCCCTCCCTTCCCCACCTCCTCCTCCCTTCCCCACCTCCCTCTCTCCTCCTCTCCCCTCTCCTCCTCTCCCCTCCCTCCCCTCCCCTCCCCTCCCCCTCTCCCTCTTCCACTCTTTCTCCCTTTCTCACTCTCTCCCACTTCCTCTCTACTCTTCCTCCCTTTCTTTCTCCCTTTCTCTTACTGACATGCTCCCATACACTGCAGATGTGAATTGAATTGTGAGTTTAGTACATTGTAACACAAGCATGTGGACACTAAACTCTACATGTGAACTTTTTAAACAATATTGAATGTAGAAACATCAGTTATGAACTGAATATATTTTCTTGCTCTTTGCTGTATTTATTTATTAACTTTTAAAATAGCATGAGCAGTAATGATGCTTTGACTTTTGTCTTTCTCTGCATGTTGAGATTACAGTGCAAGGATTTATTGGTTTACAAGCATGCATGATTGTCATATGAATATTTGAGTGCATAGTCTGTCCACACTTTTGCTTATCTTTTAATTGTTTAAGATTATCAGATAGTTATTGTTTCATACGGCATATAGTGGCATCTTCCACTAGCAACTTGTAAGTTACATAATTATATAATTTCTTTTTGTTCACTTGTTATTCTCCCTTAGTCTTTTTATTTTCGTGAATGATGATCATGTGCATTGTGGGGCAGGTATTTGTAAACTTTAGTATATGCTGGTACTGACAGTATTATCTTTCCTTTGCAGAATCCGAGAGCCAGTGGTAAGACATCCAAACGAGACTTTTGAAGAAGCTTCACTGTCACTAATAAACAGTGGAATGTGATGTTGTTTTGTCCTAATACCTTTGTTGGTGTCTGTTTTTTATAATATGGTTCACAAATTGGCCTATCCTAAGGTGACAGGATACATATTTTAATTTTTAACAGAATGGGAGCCATGGTATAAAAAAGAAAAAAATTTGCCTGGTAACAGTGCTGAGATATTGGAACGATAAATTTCACGAAAATTGGACTTTTTCTGCTTGGGTACCTTTTGTTAATGCTCATTTTTGTGAATTGCCTCATTTTCATGATTTCAAAATTAATTTCTTGAATATTTTGTTTAAAATCCTAACTGGAGCCATTGTATTAAAGGTAATCTTTGTGTAAAGAAAATTATAATGATTGAAATGTAATCTTAATTCCAAAGTATTGGAATGGAGATCTGTAAATGGGAAATGCGCAAATAGTACATGATTTGAGACATTTGAGATATTGGCCCATTTTCTTAAATTTCTTGTAAATGTTTTCTTAATTGTATGAAAATTCAAAAAAAACAAAAAAACAAAAAAAAAAAAAAGTTGTTTGTTGCAAGAGGTATGAATCCCACAAGCTCTGCCCTGTCCATTACTGTTGACTGTGAGAATTGCAAAATCAGTGATAGAAGACTCAAGCTTGTGTTGATAGAAGGGTTGATAAACCTGAAACATCTCTTAGGTTCTACATGCCTTTATTATATTGTTCATTTGATAGAGTCCTGATTGCTGATATTGCAAAGTGTACAGAGCTCAGCCGAAAGTTATAATCACTGTCAGCTCTTTTCAACAATACGTTGGTGCATGTGTCTGTGTGTGTGTACATAAGAACAGTATATAAATGCTGTAGAATATACTGATAATATTGTTTTGTGCAACTTGATACTCCAGTGATATTATACAAGGGAATGTTGTGTAGAAAGGAACTGGATTTTTCCTGGTGCAGTTGGGATATATATTATCTTTCAGTTTATTTGAATGTGTTTATGGTGCTGTAAGGGTGAGATTGCAATCCACTATCTAGCTTTGTGAAGATTCTTTGGTATGTCATACAATCATTTGCTTTCACTTTTCCCTGATATCGGTAATCAACGGTAAAGTAGAGAAAGTATGGATGATTTCTGTAGAATTGTTGTTGGAAACGGTGTAAATTTATTGATTAAAGTACCAGTTCTTTTTGTATGAATTCAGTCTGTCTTGAAAAAAAAGTAACTAGAGAAATATGATATTAAAAATCATTGTATCTGCTGTGTAGTGGATAGAGAAGACTAAAATACAGCTTAAAGCATCAGACATAAAATAGATGAAGTATATTAAGAAGACTAAAATACAGCTAAAAGCATCAGACATAAGATAGATGAAGTATATTAAGATAAAAATTGGCAAATTCTTTATAGTACCAATTATTCTTTATGGTACCAATTTCTCTATGAGAGTTCAATAAGTTGTAAAGTTGTTCTTGATGCTGTTAACTTTCATAGTAACCCTTTATTATCAGAATATTCTACTGTATCTGTAATTATATTTTGTATATGTATATTTAACATAGGATATTTTTTGTAGTAGACAAATTTGTATCATTTTGCATTTTATTTGTAATTCATATTTAAATACTGTGCATTTCTTTTAAAGTTATTTTATGTAGATGAAGAGATTTTATTTATAGATGGCTTTTGATTTGGATTTGATGGTTGAGATGGTTGAGCAATAAGAATAATTCCAATACTATGATTCCATGTTTTCTTTAGTTTAATACTCATCATTGAGATGCAGATAAAAAACAATTTTTAGGTTATTTCATATGAGAAGTTTTTGTTTCCATTTTATACTGTCTTGAAAAATCTCTCCATGATAACTTCATATTTTGTTTTAGATGAATGCGTAATGTTTGTATATGTGAATGAAAAGAGAGATACTTGATTGTAATTTTTGGTCAAGTGTTATATACTATGAGATGAAGGTTGTTGTTAAAAGATTGTTTATGGGATATTTTTGTAAACATTATCTTGCAGGTTACAAGCTTGCTTGTTGAGGTCCTAAGAGTTTTTTTAATTTTGATGTATTAGTGTGACATTAATTAATGGGGTAGGATAGGATAGAAGAATCAATAGTATGAGAATGATTTTTAGTTGTAAATCTTGCGATCAGGTATAACTTCTTACAAAACAAGCAATCCACAGCATACCTGTCTTTAAGGAATCCTCAGGTCAGATTCTGAAATATCACCTGAAACCTGGAGTGTTACTAAGTGGCAGTTGGAGGTTCATAGGAGTAGTTGCCTCTGTGATGGCATGAACTAGTGTTGTTACTCCCGTGAAGACACTTTGTTCCATCAGAGTTTGTCTTCTCACATTTCCAAGAAGACATGTTACTCTTTCTGCCACAGAAGGATCAATGAGTGCTGAGGGCATGCTTCTGTTGATGACCTACATTTAACTCCAGTTAATACATTTCGCATGTCCATGTCAAGTTTTATTTCAGCGTTTGGGGCACGTGACTGAGAATTTGATTTTGTTCCTGTACCACTTTTCATATATATCAACTAAGTCATGAATCATAAACTGTTAACTATAATATCAGTATTGCTCAGCACTTCTGGACTTGGGGTTAACTTCACTAGGTCCTGAAATGTTTAAAATCATTTTATTTTATAGAACTGGTTACTTAAGCTATAAAACACTGATCATGCACATTGTATCAGTATTAGGGGAGCCTGGCCAAACCAACCATCCAAAGTATCTGTGCACTTAGATTTATTCCAGTTGTATGTACTGGGAGACTTAGAAACTTTTCAATAGATATGTGTATATGTATATATGTATACATGTATGTGTGTAAATCTTACCATCTTTGCCTCTGACTTTTACCTCTCCTTTTCTTTCTCCTCTCTCTCCTCTATCTTAATCTTTAACAAAGTTTTCCTGTAGGCATTTTTCCTATCCTCTTTGAGCACATATACAGTACGCATACACATTGCACATACACACACAGAGCAATTTGATAGATGTGTATTGCATACTTGTAATTAGATTTTTTTTGTTAATATAAACTTTTGTTGTAATTTGATCAAGCACTGAAGTTTTCATTGCTTGCCTGACGAAGAGTACATGAAATGCAACATTTTGGTGATGAAATTATTACATGTATTTTTCTGATTTGAGACGTCCGCTTACTTAAATCTGATAAAAGTTTTCAAATAGAATTCTGTACAAAAGTTTTAGATTTTTAATGTATGAGTGTGTTGTATTCAAGATTAACATTTGTGTGAGTGATAGGTAAGTATATACTTCTGTTAGTGTAAATATATACATGTGAGTAAACAGGGAAGTAAAAGTCATGATGAATGATAAATTATGTGCAGCAGAATCTTTGACTTTTATTCCACAAAGTAATTTTTATAATTTTGAAACCCTAGAACTTTTAAAAAATAGTTTTCCAAACTGAAATGTATACTTTTTAAAAAGTAATTGGCATTTGTAGAACATTACATTGTATTGTCTTACAAGTCGGTAGACTTGTTAAAATTCTACAGTGCAGGGGTAATAATATTTTTTTGTGATTGTCTAAATTATTTCCTCACTAAAATGTGCAAGTTTCTGCCTAGTATTGCAGAAAGTGTACCTCTTTCTTCAGACAGACTGGTTATTTCTAAAGATATTCTAATGGGGTGTAGGAAACCAAGTAGGAGGTGTATATTGAAGATTACCTCTTCTATATAGCTGTTGCAGGTTCTGGAGTTGCTTTGTTTTGTGTGTGTCTGTGTCATCTTTTTAGAGTTCAAAATAAAGATTCACAGCTAAATGTGATTTCATTTTTTTCCTTTGTAAAGAAATTATTGGCTTGAATGCCCCTTACCTTTCCATGAATTTTTCCAGTAATTTTTGTTTTCTAGAGGCTCACCCCCTAATCTCTTGCCCACTGCTGTCATTGGGGGCTTACGAGGCGAGGACTGGATCCCAATGCTGGGGATCCCCCCTGCCTTGGGCCTCAGCCCTCAACTCAACTCATTTTGCTTGGTCTTTTTCCCCTCCTGCTTTTTCGTTTCCATCCCTTCTCCAACCCCTTTGACTATCCACTTCCTAAGATGTGAGAGCCATGCTGAAAGGATGAAAGGCTGACTTTGTGCCAGTCCTGAATAGCCTGAGGCAACCATGGGCACAATATTCCCCTGTTTTAGTTGGCTAGCCCTTACCCCACAAGGGGACCCAGAGGCCAATAGTGAAGATGTTATACCTTTGATAGGGGCAATGAGGCTTGCCCCTTCATCAAATAGCCCCACCAACTCAAACTCTCTCGGTTCCCAGACCCCAAGCTCTCCTTTGACCATGACTCTGAACACTACAACTACTACCCCTTCTTCAGTGCCTACTAATACATTATCCACGCAAGACAACACTCAAGCTCTAACCCCACAACCTTCTTCATCAATCACCCCATCCTCCCTTATTAGTTTACAGCCTTATTGTCCACTTCTCTGAAATAATACCTCCCTCAACATTACTCCCTCTTCCACACGTCCCCGTCCTTCTACAACCCCCATCTCTACAAATATCTTAAATACTTTATTTAGCTCAGGCAAATGGGACTTATTTTATGTGATCCCCGTCACAGTTACATTCCTGCATAACCTCATCCAACCCTCAATACTTGTACCAGAACTGTCTCAATCTCCCCAGCAAACTGCCCTATATATAACAAAAATTGGTCAGACTGTGGAGAAGACTTACTCTCCTGCCTCATGGACTATGATGCGATATCAGTACAGTGCTACTCTATTCCTCCTAAAGGTCATTGTAAGAACCCTACCAACATTGCCCAAATTACTTTCCGTAGATATGACCTTCCCTTTAATGTTTATATTGTTGAAGAATCCCCTTACTGTTAGTGTCAAAATTGGCATTTAAGACATCCTGCCAAACACTGCTGTTCCAAAGCCTGATGCCCTCTGTGCCCAACCTGGTCATAACTGATCAAACTGCTCTGCACAGCCATGCACGTGCCAACTGTGGCGGCCCCCATAAAGTATTTAATAGGGGCTGCCCCACCTACAAGTTCGAGTCTGAGGTGGCAGATACAGACTTGGTCTCACTCTGCGTGAAGTCAGACAGGTAGCACGCCGACGAGGTTTTTCTCACTCCCTGCTCCAGTAATATTGCTTGCTCTGCCTCTCCTTCTCCTTCCCAAGATGTTCCTACACCCTCCCCTATACCTATAACTCCTACATCTTACTTCCCCACTTCTACCTCCTACCTTCTGCAGTCTGATTCTTTTGCCATTCTAAATCCAGACACCTTTTTTTTACCTCTACTCATCTGACACCAGTCTCCTCTTCCCCCCCCTCATAAGAAAATCTTTGTCTCACAAAACTCCCCAACCAATTCCTTTACAGAAACTTTTGAAGATATTCAAAACCATCTACTTGAGTACCAAATTGACACCAAAACCCATCACCGACCCTCAAATTCTATAACTCCCACTCCCTCCACACTCAAAGTGACTGCCAATATCCATCCTCCTCCTGACTATATTCCCCCTACAACCCTCTCTTCTACTCTCTCCTAACACAGTCCTTCCCCCCTAGTTCCAGCTCCAACTACATTAACCCTTCCTCCATCCCCTCTATCTCTTCCACTCCCTCCTGCATACACACGTGAATCCTTTTGGTCACAACTATGCCCTTCCCCAGATCTTCCACCTCCTGATACCCATCCTGATACAACACCACCTTCCCCCTCTCATTCCTTATCTCACCCCCTAGCTCCTTCCCCTTCAAATTTTCCAGTACTCGCTGTAACCGTTACCACTCATAGATCAACTAAAGTATAACTCTTCTTCATTGGAATATTCGCGGTTTCCGTTCTCACAGACCTGACCTTCGTCATATCCTTTCTTCCTATAACCCATCCATTATCAGGCTCCAAGAGACTTTTCTTACATATCCTCCTATACCAATACCCAACTACCATTTTTTCTCTTTGTCATACTCCCTTTATGTCTCGTCTATACTTTTCCATCAGAAAACACCTTATGTCATACCTCCCTTTTAAACCACTGTCCCGTGCACAGTTATTAGCATCTTTCTTCGCCGAATCCTCTCCTGGTCAGCTCCATTTTATCAGAACAGACGTTGGGAGACGGCCCTCACCCGCTTACATATTGGTCGCACCCGTATAACACACTCCTATTTCATGTCACATTCTGATCTACCCCTACGTTCCCTATGTACGGTCTCTCTTTCAGTTCCACACATTATGTTGTCCTCTCCACGCTTTGATGCAGTCTGTACCTCTGCTTTCCCCCTCCTACCTCCCTTCATCGACCTCCCAATCTATCTGACATCCTTACAGAATCTCACACTTTCTGCTTTGACAACCTGTTCTCCTTTCTCAGACGCGTACATATCCTTAACTTGATCTAATCCCCCATAACCATACCTTAACCCATTCACTCATCAACTCCTTTACCCATCTTTAGCCTTTTTAATATTAATCTAGATAGTTGACATATAGCTAACTACTAACTCATCCGCCCTTCACTACCCTTACTGTATCTCCCTATAGTGCTATATGACCTTAGATGTCTAGCACATTTATTTTGCTTTTAACCATTAACCATTCTAGAGGCTCAAAGTCCTTGTTGCTTTTCAATTTACTAAGTGGAGCTGCATGTTGAGGTGATGCAATTTGATTTTGAAAACGTGCAAGGACAGCAGTAAGAATCATTATTTATTTGGCAACCTGTGGCAACATTTATTTAGGCTGATAATTTCTTTAATCATGGAGGTACATACTAAATACTTTCTCTTTCTCTTTTACATTGATTTCTTTGACTGCAGTATTTTGCTGGTAGGTAACATAAAAGTGATATATATAATACTAAATGAGTCTTTACAATACACTGTTTGATTGAGAGTGATTCAAAGAGGAATTACCTCCCCCCCACTCAATCCCTATCTCGTTGCTGTGGGGGATATGGAGACTGAGGCACAATGCTCCTACCTTGGACCTCAGTCCTTACCTCATTTAATTTTGCATGGTCTTTTCTTGTCAACCTTTCCTTTTCTTTCTCTTTTTCATTCCTTCTGTCCACTTATCCTAATCGTTAAGTAAATTTTACCCTTTTCGCTACAATACTTTATCATAATGCTGTGTGACCTACCCTATTGCTATGTTTTGAATACGCTACTAATGACTTTAGATGTTGACGCAACAGATTTTTTTTTCAGTATACAAATAAATAAATACCCTTGCCTCAACTAATTTTGTATGGTCTTCTCTTCTTACCCTTTCCTTTTCCTTCTCTTCTTCATCCCCTTCTTTTGTTCACTTATCCTAATCGTCAACTCATTTTTAGCCTTTTCACTACTATACTTTACCACACTGCCCCCTCCCCCAATACTTTGCCTCTTGTTGTCATGGGGTGGGGGTGAGGGGTTAAGGAGACGGATATAGGCCCAATGCTGGGGATCTTCCCTACCTTGAGCCTCAGCCCTTGCCTCCCCCAATCCCTTGCTCGTTGTTGTCGTGGGGGAACTTAGGAGACGAGGACTGAGACCCAAGGTAGGGGATCACCCCTTGCCTTAGTCCTCAGCCCTTGTCTCAACTAACCACCTTTCTTGATAGTTGGAGACTCTACCTGTCGCCACACCCTCTGAGGAGACTACTACTTCCCGAGGTCGCTCCATAGAGGACTTCCTCTTCAATAATGACCTTATCTTTCTAAACCATCCCACTCACTTCGACATGCGTACCCAATCATTCCCAAACCTTGATCTTTCTCTTCGTCCTCCTACCCTTCGTCTAGACCTCCATTGGTCATTTCTATTTCCATTCCCCCTCGTTGGTGCCTTGACAGAGCTGACTGGCATACCTTTACCTCTCTCTCTACTCTAGATCTTCCCCCATCATCCTTCTCTTCCACTTCATACATACCCCTCTACTTCACAACCAATATGCTAAATGCAGCCTATACCACCATCCCTCGCATCTACCGACCTTACACTTCCAAATGCGTTCCATGGTGGAACCTAGAATGTACTAAAGCGCTTCAGTTGAAGCGTGTAGCTTTCAATAGTTATAGATACAAGAGAGGCACCCCTAATCAGTTAACTGCCCTCATCTTCTTTTGCTGTAGCTTTGTCCCATTCTTATAAAGGGTCGCTATGATCAGGTTCTGGCAGATATTTTTTATGCCTGGATGCCCTTTCTACCGCCAACCCTCTATTTACCCGTGATTGGGACCGGCACTGACTTGGGCTGGCTTGCCCACCCAGTGGCTAAGTTAAGAAAAGTATTAAATAAAAAAATCTAACAATATATATATATATATATATATATATATATATATATATATATATATATACATATATATATATATATATTCTGACAACAAAGGAAGGGATAAAAGATCTAGAGAGGCTGAACATCAATAACAGTAAATACTAATTACTCTCTCTCTCTCACACACACACACACACACACACACACACATACACACACACACACACACACACACACACACACACATACACACACACACACACATATCTATCAATCTATCTATCTATCTATCTATCTATCTATCTATCTATTTATCTATCTATCTATCTATCTATCTATATATATATATATATATACATATATATATATATGATATATATATATATATATATATATATATATATATATATATATATATATATATATATATATATATATATTATATACATATATATATATATATGATATATATATATATATATATATATATATATATATATATATATATATATATATATATAT